GTATTTACTAATAAAGTTTTTTTTTAGTTAGTTACTCTTGGTGTAAAAAAATACTATTCATTTTTTATAAGTTGATATTATGTTTAGTATCTTGACAAAGACTGGGCAATATATTTCCATAAAGATTTACCACCTTGGAAACCCAAAGTGTGTCACTATGAGTCAGAATTGACTTAATTACAGTGAGTTTGCTTTTTTTGGTTTATCTTGACAAAATCTTTTATTACTCTAATGGATTGTACACCCTACTGGATTTTCTATATGTTGTTGTTGTTGTTGTTAGGTGCCATTGAGTCATCTCTGATTCATAGCAACTTTATGTACAGTAGAGTGAAACATTGCCTGGTCCTGCACCAGCCTCATGATCCTTGCTATACCTGAGCCCATCGTTGCAGCCACTGTATTAATCTACCTTGTTGAGGGCCTTCCCCTTTATTGTTGACCCTCCGTTTTACCAAGCACAATATCCTTCTCTGGAGAATGGTCCCTTCTGACATGACCGATGTAGGTGATATGAAGTCTGGCCATTCTCACTTCCAAGGAGCATTCTGGCTGCACTTTTTCTGGGGCAGATTTGTTAGTTCTTTTGGCAGTGCATGGTACTTTCAGTATTCTTTGCCAACACTGCAACTCAAAAGCACCAATTCTTCTTTGGTCTTCTTTATTTATTGTCCAGCTCTCACAGGCATATAAGGTGATTGAAAATACCATGGCTGGGATTAGGTTCACCTTAGTCTTCAAGGAGACCTCTTTGCTCTTCAGCCCTTTAAAGAGGTCTTTTGCACCAGATTTGCCCAATGCAATATGTCATCTGATGTCTTGACTGCTGCTTCCACTGGTGTTGATTGTAGAATCAAGTAATATGAAGTCCTTCACAACTTCATTTTTTTTCTCGATTTATCATGATGCTCCTCATTGGTCCAGTTGTGAGGATTATTATTATTATTATTATTGAGGTGTAACCCATACTGCAGACTGTAGTCTTCAATCTTCATCAGTAAGTTCTTCAAGTCATCCTCACTTTCAGCAAGCAAAGTTGTGTCATCTGCCTATCACAGGTTGTTAATGAGTCTTCCTCCAATCCTGATGCCACATTCTTCTTCATATAGACCAGCTTCTCGAGTTATTTGCTCAGCATATAGATTGAATAAGTGTGGTGAAAGGATACAACTCTGACACACTCCCTTCCCTATTTTAAACCATGCAATGTCCCCTTATTCTGTTCAAACAACAGCCTCCTGGTGTCTGTACAGGTTCATCATGAGTATAATTAAGTGTTCTGGAATTCCCATTCTTATCAGTGTTACCCATAATTTGTATGATCCACACAATTAAATGTTTTTGAAAGTCAATAAAACACAAGTAAACATCTTTCTGGTATTCTTTGCTTTCAGTCAAGATCCATGACATCAGCAATGATGCTCCATGTCCACTTCTGAATCCAGCTTGTGTTTCTGTAAGCTTTCTGTCAATATATTGCTGCAACCATTTTTGAATTATCTTCAGTAAGATTTTACTTGCATGTGATATTAATGATATTGTTCTCTAATTTCCACATTCTGTGGGATCACCTTTCTTTGGAATGGGTACAAATATTGATCTCTTCCAGTCAGTTGGCCAGGTAGCTGTCTTCCAAATCTTCTTCCACTAAATTTTGACATCAAGTGAGTGCCTCCAGTATAGCATCCACTGGGTTGAAACATCTCAATGGGTAGTCCATCAATTCTTGGAGCCTTGTTCTTTGCTAGTTACTTCAGCGCAGCTTCAACTTCTTCCTTCGATATCACTGGTTCTTGACCATATGCCACCTCCTGAAATGGATGAACATCAACCAATTCTTTTTGGTACAGTGATTTTGTGTATTCCTTCCACCTTCTTTTGATGTTTTCTGCATCATTCAATATATTGCCCATAGAATGTTTCAATATTGCAACTTGAGATTTAATTTTTTTTTCTTCAGTTCTTTCAGCTTGAGAAATGCTGAACATGTCCTTCCCTTTTGGTTTTCTAACTCCAGGTCTTTGCGCTTTTCATTATAATAATTGACTTTATCTTCTCGAGCTGCTCTTTGAAATCTTCTGTTTAGCTCTTTTGTCTTGTCATTTCTTCCATTTGCTTTAGCTACTCTTTGTTCAAGGGCAGGTTTCAGAGCCTCTTCTGACATCCATTTTGTTCTTTTCTTCCTTTCCTGTCTTTCTTCATGGATGATGTTCTTGATGTCATCCCACAATTCCTCTGATTTTTGGTCATTGGTTTTCAATGCATCAAATCTATTCTCTTAAATTCAGGAGGGGTATAATGGATTTTCTATATAGATGAGCAATTATGTCTCCACCCTTCCAATTTTACCTCTTCTTTGGTCTTGTCACATTGGCTTGGACCTCTGGATTTATGTAAGGCAGTAACATATATGGAATGTTCTGATCATATAGGAATGTATCTAAGATTTTTGCCTTAAGTGCAGCATTTGATTTAAGTTTCTGGCCCATGCACTTTACCATATCCAGAAACTTCCTGGTTATTTTTGCTTTGTTTGTATATTGAGCAAATAATAGTGAGTGGTAAACATTATCAAATGCTTTGTCTTCATCTGTTAAAATAATCATCCGAGTTTCTCTTTTAGCCCGTTAATGTAATATATGACATCAGTAAGTTTTTGGGTGTTGAATCTCTTTGTATTCCTGAGTAAATCCTTCTTTATCATGCTCTGCTCTCATTTTAATACATGGTTGGATTCAGTTGGTAATTATTTTTATAAGTATTTCTCAAATGAGTCTATAAGTGAAATGTGCCCTAAAATGTCTTTCTTGTCAATTTTGTAATCAAGAGTAACTTGACTTCATAAAATGAGTTGGACAACTTTCTCTTCTTTTCTACTTCTATAATAACTTGCATAGATATGAATCATCTCTCTGTTCCTTGAAAGTTTGGTAAAACTCACTTACAAAAACTTTTGAGTCTAAAGATTTTTGAGGGGGAGGAATAGAGGAAGTACTTGATTGATTCTCATTTCTATTCAAGTGTTCTCTTTCTTCTTGCACTAAATTTTGACTTTATATATGTTTCCAGAAATTTAACTATTTCTTCACATTATCAAATGTATTACAATATGGCTCTTCATGATGTTATTTTCTCATTTTCTAGCCTCCATTTTTCATATCCTTTCCTTAGCTCTCTCCCTCCTTTTCCTTGAGCAAACATATCACAGTTTTGTCTATTTTATTACTATTTTGCTTTGTTCATATTCTCAATTTTTTTGTTTCATATTTCACAGATTTGTGCCTTTATTTTATTATTTACTTTTTTGATTTTCCTTGTCAAGAAGTATTTGCTTTATACAATCACATTTTAAAGACTAATAGTGACATGGTATCTCCTTTCTCACTCATTAGTAATAACTAAAAAAAAAAAAAAAGCCAAACTCACTGCCATCAAGTTAATTCTGACTCATAGAGACCCCCTTTGGGTTTTCAAGGCAGTAAATCTTTATGGAAGTAGATTGCCCCATCTTCCTTCCACAACGTGGCTGGTGGGTTTTAACCACCAACCTTCTGGTTAGCTATCAAATGCCTTAGGCACTATGCCACCAGAGCTCCCAATAGTAATAGACTTCCATATTAATTAGGTCTGAGAACCAGGCAAGTTCATTAATTATTTGTTTTTTGAAGTAGAAACATTTCTCACACTATGATCTCAGAAGGGGCTCTGGTAGCATAGTGTCCAAGGCATTTGATTGTTAACCAGAAGGCTGGCGGTTCAAACCCACCAGCCACTCCTCAGAAAGAAGGATGGGCAATCTACTTCCATAGTGATACCTCCTCAGAAACCCAAGGAGGGGTCACTATGACTCAGGTCCAACTTGACAGCACATAACAACAACAACAACATGATCTCAGCTAATACTTGCAAATCTTAACTTTGGACAGAGACAGTGCTAAGAACTTTACTGCATCATTCCATTTAATTCTTCTCATAATCCTCATCATGTTATTCTTATACCCATTTTACAGACAAGGAAGCTGAGGCTTGATAAGATTATATAACTTGCCACAGGTCACATGTCCAGTAAGTAACAGAACTGGGATTTGAACCCAAAAGTCTCTACTAGTAACCACTAGGGTATGTTGTTTCCTTAGAAAAGGTCTTGATTTCTTTCTTTTTAAGCCAAAAATAAGGGCAGTTTTTAAGCTAACTTAGTTGTCAATATTTTAATTCCAGGCAAATACTACATAGCCACGATGGCCTTGATCACAGCATCCACTGCCTTGACCATTATGGTGATGAATATCCACTTCTGCGGTGCTGAGGCCCGGCCAGTGCCACAGTGGGCCAGAGTAGTCATCCTGAAATACATGTCCAGGATCTTGTTTGTCTATGACGTGGGTGAAAGCTGCCTTACCCTGCGCCAGGGGAGGGGGCACGATCACTTCAGAAAGGTTTATGACAAACTTCCAGAACCTAATCTGAAAACAGCCGGGAACAAAGACCTTTCCAGAAAGAAGGAAGTTAACAAACTCTTAAAGAATGACTTGGGGTGCCAAGGTGAGAACCCACAGGGTACTGACAATTACTGTGCACGATACAACATGTTGACAAAGAATATTGAGTACATTGCTAAGTGTCTCAAAGACCACAAGGCCACCACTTACCAGGGAAGTGAATGGAAGAAGGTTGCAAGAGTCATAGACCGATTCTTCATGTGGATTTTTTTCATTATGGTGTTTGTCATGACCATTTTGATAATAGCTAAAGCAGATTAGTGAGTGTTTGCTATCTACAGGGCTCATCAATAAAATTCTCTATGATCTACTCCAATGTTCTTCCAAGTCAGAGTTTTGTATATGATTGAAGGTTTATGTTGTCTATAGGTTTTATTATTATTATTATTATTTATTTAAAATGAACTTAGGTACTTGTCAGTTTAAATTAAGCACAAGGTGCAAAATTTCAAGGGTAATAAGATGAAGGAAGTAGGGAAGGGTCCCTTTTATAGCTTCCCAGAAGGGTTGGTAGATGGCCTCTAGGTACATCACAAAGTATACCACATTACAGTTCAAAATTTACAAAACAAACTTGTTTCTCCTTAGTCCCTATTAAAACATGTTTTCAAAAAAGAAAATTAGTTGTACATACCTTAGTGTTATTTAAGTCTCAATGGCATGGTGCATTGCAAGTCATATCAAATGGTATGGTGAAAGGTTTTTTCATACCACGAAAAGGAATGCTACTCCTGTAAACTTTCACACAATTCACAATTAAAAAAAAAAAAAAAAAAAAGAATGCTACTGATCACCAATTTAATGGAGAAGAGCGCTTTCTTGATAAGGATGATGTTGTTAGGCTGATTATGTTTTATAGGAGGCACTGGTGGCTGAGTGGTAGAATTCTCACTTTTCGTGTGGGAGATCAATGCAGCTCAGCCACAGCCATCACCCATCTGTCAGCTGGAGCTTGTATGTTGCTCGTGATGCTGGACAGTCTTCAGAGGCGCTTCCACACTGAGATGAACTAAGAAGAAAAGCCTGGAGATCTACTTCTGGAAATCAGTGAATGGAAGCCCTGTGGCTCATAATGGTTCAGTCTGCAACCAAGCATAGGGATGGCGTAGGACCTGGCAGCATTTTGTTTCTTCGTGCAGGGGGTCCCCATGAATCAGGGGCTGACTTTACTGCAGCTAACACCAACAATAACCACACGCTTATTCAAACCCTAAAGATGAAGTTGTTCCTGCGTTTAGTCCTTGATACAAACAAGATACCAGCTAACTGGGCTCATTCATTCTTTCAATTAGTCAGCAAACATTTAGTGAGCTTCTCCTATGTATAACGAAGCTACATGATTTACATATGCATTGTGTTCTTAGCAAATCTTATGCACCTGTCTGATCACCTTCAATCTTCACAACAATTCTGTGAGTTAGGGTAGGTAGGTATTGCTGTTCCCATTACTCAGATGAAGAAACTGTGGCTAGAAGAAGTGGACATAAGTGACCTACCTCCTCAACTTCAAATGAGTGTACATGGTGGAGCTGGGATGCAAACCTGTAGCTCTGTGACTCCAAGTTTGGACTATATCTGCTAAAACTACACTGCTTTCAGCCATGACAGAGCATGATTTAGAGTAGGAAAGATGAAGAGATTCTCAGTCTTAATTCTAATCTTCCTACACTAATTTACTTCTTAGATGTCTCAATTTCTTTCTTACTTTCAATCAAATATGTCTTCAAATCTCCCCATTCCCTTGATTAAAATGATCCAAGTTCTGATACCCATTCCCTAATTTCCAACCCCTGAACTATTCTTACCATTAAAAAGAAACAAAGTAACAGAGGTGGAGAAAAGACAGGGTTAAACTAGGAAAGACAGGATGCTGTCTGATCTAAACAATGTTTTTTAGTCTTAGGTTTACCATTTTAAAAACATTAATGTGCATCCATTTATACACTGAGTGCTAAACCATCTTTTGAAGGAACAAATACATATACGGTTTCTGCCTTTCAGCTGCTCAGTTCAGTGGAAGAGATGGTAAAGAAAATAGACAAATAAAATGTACTGTAACAAGTGCTATCCCAGAGGCATACACAAAACTCTATGGGAACACAACATGCTATGCAAAACATTGTTCCACATCCTACTTTGGTGAGTAGCGACTGAGATCTTAAAAGCTTACAAGCGGCCATCTAGGTGCAATGATGAGTCTCTCCTCATCCAGAGCAAAGAAG